GGACTCCTTGGAGAAGTGTGACTGATCCCAGGTCTAGGGCAGAAAACCATAAAGACTACTGAGGTTGTTCCAAAGGATATACAGATGCTAACTTGAAGGGGCTCCCAGAGGCCAAGGACTGCACAATTGGAACATCAAAAAGAATAATGACTGCAGTGGATTAAAGCACAACAAATATATAAAAAGCCATGCATTCACTATGTATTATTAAATGTACTGGTCACTATTCCACAGAGACACTGCTGCTGCTGCTAAGTCACTCCAGTCGTGTCCGACTCTGTGCGACCCCAAAGACGGCAGCCCACCAGGCTCCCTGTCCCTGGGATTCTCCAGGCAAGAACACTGGAGTGGGCTGCCATTTCCTTCTCCAGGTAAATAAAGCTAAAGAATCACGAAAGAAATAATGGTCACTTGGAGAACAGGGCAAAGAGGAGGCTGGTCATTTGGTAAATTGATTTAGATAAGTTCAAAGAGAAAGACAGAAAGACTTCCCTGGTGGTCCAGTGGCTAAGACTCCAAGCTCCCAATGCAGGGGATCTCGGTTCGAGCCCTGGTCAGGGAACAAGATCCCGCAAGCCACAGCTGAGATCCAGCACAGCCAAGAAATAAAAATAAATATTAAGAAAAAGAGAGAGAGAGAGACAGAGATAAGAAAATGGATTCATGATACATTACACCATGAATTTCCCTCCTCAGCATCTTCTGCCCATCTCCTGCCCTAGAAGGTTTCTGCCACTTTATTCCTATGATCAGGACTAGAAATAGTCACTCCATACAATTTCATTTGAATGTATTACTTCTCTCATCAGATGAGATTTAACAAAATGCCTTCGAATTGCCACACTAAATTAGACTAACAAAGTTTGTTTTAAATCAGAAAATCTAACAAAACTCTTCAATGGGGATTTAAATTCAACATGCAAAGGATCTTACATGCAAGGATCTTACAACATGCAAAGGTTTTACTGACCATCTATGACTATATGCCAAATTGTTTAAGATATCATTATCTCATTTAACTTTTGTTAGTAGGTTTAGGAGAGGATCACTCATATTTTACAAATGAGAAACCGAGACAGGGCAGTTAAGTGACTTGGCTAAAATCATGCATTGAGTTAAGTGACAGATAGAATTTGAAAAAAAAAAATCCATGGGCTACCTCTGGTTGCCCACACCAAAAAAAAAGAGATCAAAGGATGATGGACATAGTCAAAGTTTGTGGTGATGCAACATTACTAAAAATAGCCCAGTGATGAATTGCTTGTTAACTATTTCCCTTGTAAGAAAATCACATGACTCTACAGGAATGTAAGAATAAGTTTATTTGGTATATGTGGCCTTGGGAAAATTATTTCATCTAAGATTTTGGAGCAGGAAGAAGTCATCAAATTCATTTTAGTTCAAATTATTGTTTTCTAGATTAGAAACATACCTAGAGAGAAACAGGTGACAGCCTGAAGTCAGTGAATTAGCAGCATGAGGGTAAAGGTATTAGCCACCTTAGATACCACCAGTGCCCTGCGGCGGTGATGGGGTGAAGGGGGTGGTGGAGCTTCAGTAGTCAAGAATCCAACTGCCAATGAAGGAGACACGGGTTCAATCCCTGGTCCAGAATCCTACATGGCGAGGAGCCGGTGTAGCACTACTACTGAAGCCCCGGTGCCCTAGAGCCCACGCTCCGCAACAAGAGAAGCCCCTGCAGTGAGAGGCCCGGGCGCTGCGACTAGAGTAGTGCCCGTCTGCAAGCAAGCAGCTCCTGCTTGCTGCAGTCAGAGAAAAGCCCGAGAAGCAACGAAGACTATGCACAGCCAGCCTGCTTAAAAGCCATTTCTCCTCCGTGAAATGCAACTCACCCTAACCCAAAGCTGCCACTGATTTACTTAAACAGCTTTTTCTAAACTTATTTCATAAGCTCACTCTCTCTTCCCAGATCTATAAAAAACTTAAGGTTCAAGTTTGAGTCTTTGTATTTCCCCCCTACCTGCTAACACACACACACACACACTCAGCACATGCCATAGTATTCAGTGTTCAATGACTATGCAAGGAGGCAAGTGAGCAAAAGCCAGTCTTTTGATACATGTATAGAGCCTCACCTCCACTATATAACACAACAAAACAAATTGCTATGGAGGGGGCGAGGAATTTTTTTTAATGAAAAAAGAACTTTAACTTGAAAATTTTGTCAGAGGAGAAATTAAAACTACTTTTAGATTCATCTTCAGATATATTTCTTCATTCTCCAAGTTATTTATATGCATAGAAAGGGATTTAAATACAAAAGATTAAATAAGTTCTTAAAAAATACAGATCTCTGCTTGGAGAGTGAGGATTCAATCCTTAAAAATTCAAAAAGTCACAGTGAGTTTTAAAAAGAATTCTCAGCACTGTTTAGTCTTATTGTAATGACAAGTCATCCACTATTCTTAATCAGTCTGAGTATCTCTTGAAAGTGCAGAAATTAATACTCAGCTGTGTCTGACTCTTTGTGACCCCTGTGGACTGTAGCCTTTGAGGCTACTCTATCCATGGGATTTTCCAGGCAAGAATACTAGAGTGGGTTGCCATTCCCTTCTCCAGGAGACCTTCTTAACTATTATTATTTTTTATCTGTCTGGAAAGGAAGGAAAAAGTATGTGAGCTAGAAATGAAAGGCCTTTTATCAAAATATCAAAGACTACCAAACATTGTATAAACTGCACTGGTATGATAAAAAAAGAAAAACACACAAACACACAGTTGTTGTTGAGGAAACCAGAGTGGCACTGGCATAGTGTGACACTCCTCCTTTAAACCAGATGTTAAAACACAGGATGAACAAATTTCATGATTTAGTTTTCGTACCCTCTTTACCCAGGTGGTCACACTCCGTGACCACTGCCTTGACCACATACCACTGTGGAACTCTGCAACCAAACACCCCTTTATTCTATTTTTCCACAGAAGTTATCTATCTAGCCTCTGACTGGACCAGTAATTAAGAGATGGCCTTGGTCAATACACACTCAACATGCATCAGTTCCAACCCAGCTCATCACTGTACCACTGCCCAGGAGACCTTGAAATCAAAATGGTCCACATGGAGGCAAATGGGATGATCTAGATGTCTCTGCTCCCTCGTCACTAGAAGGGCAGTATTTCCTCATATGTGCCCCGGGAAACACTGTTCATGAGAAAGAATGCATTAAAAAAAAAAAAAGCCAGTTTCCATGGTCAAATAAATGTGGGAGAGACCATACTCGGAACCTTCCTTTGGGAGTTCACAATGCACATTGGTATATTGCTGCTGTATAACTGCTAAGTCTGACTCTTTTGCAACCCCATAGACTGTAGCCCACCAGGCTCCTCCTTGGGATTTCCCAGGCAAAAATACTGGAGAGGGTTGCCATTTCCTCCTCCAAGGGTTCTTAGGGTTATGAAAAGTGCTACAGCAAAGAACTCTGTAGTATTTTAATTCAGCAAGTCCTACATTTATTTGACTATGAATCTTCTTTCCAGTAACACCTTTAATATTTAAACACAGAGTGGGAAATGCTGAGATTACATTCGACAGTTATGTAGCTTCAGATCTAACTATGAGACCACTGGTGGTTTCCCTATCCAAGGATCATTGCTCAACAAAGGTTAGCATAGGGACTTCCCTGGTGGCCAGTGGTTAAGAATCCACCTTCCATTGCAGGGGATGTGGGTTCGATCCCTGGTCAGGGAACTAAGATCCCACATGCCCTGGGGCAATTAAGCCCAACCACACTGTGACAAAGACCCAACACAGCCAATAATTAATCAACCATTTTTTAAAAAAAAGACAAAGGATGAAGATGTGCTCAGGCACTTCGATAGTGTCCAACTCTTTGCAGCCTGCCAGAGTTAGAGTAGGAATTAAACTAGAAATGGGATGTTCAGGATATCTGAAATCCAAATTGCAATGTAATCTGTAAATTTTACCCTAATGTAAGGAAAACATATATTTCTTTAAAACCAACAGAAAAAAAAATTATAGGTGACAATTACAAGGTCCAAAGCAGTACACTCTTTATAAAAAGATTTGTTATGATGGGCCTACAACTCAACAGGCATGTCTTTTTATGGGCAAAGTGAAATAGAGAACAAAATGATTACCCAAATAATTGAAGTCAACTGCTCTTTCTACAAATAATATAATTTTGTCTGTTAATTTAATCCAAGCTTGCTGGGTTTGAATGTGGACATGGAGGAGAAAGTGGGCACCAAGGTCATCAGTAAAGTTCTTGCAATTCTCCACTTAACTGCTTAAATGCACTTTATTAATAAATAAAGCCTTAGGTACAGTTATTTGACCACCTTTGAAACCACTATGGAAATACCCAGAATATTCTATGGTATAATACACTGAAAATCCCAATATCTGAGAATTCATGTTCCCACATTACTGAGAACCCAATTTACTGTGAGAAGAAAGATCTGATCACTGGATACTACAGGTCCCTGTACCAAAATCTTCTAAAAATCAATTTTCTCAAACATAAAACATCACCTGAGACAAAATATATAGATTTCCTTTCTAACTTCAAGTACTTCCAGCAATAGAACTAAAATGTGTTTACATTTATGAAGGGAAAATCCTGATACCATGAAATTGATCTCTATTTCAGATTATCAAATTTTTTCAATTGAACACTGTCAGACTCATGTCAACCCATAAAAAGATTTGTTCAGGTTTAAGTTTGAACACTTTGCCTATTTTATTCTTTCAAACTGAGAATCTTAAAAACACAAGTATGAAAAGTTCTCCCTTTTCCAAAACACAGTTGGTAAAAATGTCACACAGTAACACAATCTGAATCAAAGAGCAAACATTCAAAGACTTCCGCCTCCTAAAATCTGAAGGGGGAAGGTTGCTGTTCATGAACTTGAATTTTAACACTTTAATGTTAGAACGAACTTTGTCTTCACTCATTGCATTTTAGTTTAGTGGTCAAAAATGCTCATGGTTTCAAGGAGTTCTAATGGCAGTGCCTTACCAGTGTAGATGCTGGCATTGGAAGCTGGAATACCAAACTGTGACTCGATGAACTTGGGGATGAAGGTAATGAAAGCAGTTACAATGGCACTCTCAGCTGTGTATGACAAACTCACAAAAAGGAATGTCATGTTGCTTAAGATCCTGACAGCTGCTCTTGGTAGGTCTACAAAATGACAAAAATGACAAATGAATGTTATAAACAAGGGATGGAAAAGAAAAGAAAATTGAACTGCTTTTGAAATGAACTGGAAATAGCCATTCAGCAATATAGGAAAACCTGATAAATGATTAGAACTCATCCCCTTTACTAAATAGACTTGGGTTTTTTTTTTTAATTGTTCAGCTAGGATAAGGAAATTTAACAAAGAAGCTAAAAACATGCCCAAACACAAATATCCTTCTAAGAAGGAGGCAACCTATGACTTCTGTTTCAAAAACTGCTTAGAATAAATGAACCGCACTTTTTTATTGATTAAACAATGTTAATCTTTGTTAAGACCCTGAAGACTATTAAATGTGTAAAGTACCTGCAATATAGCCCTAAATTAACAGTTTTCGCTTCACCCAACTAACACTTCTCTGAGTAAAATGCACTTCTGAGATACCAGCTCTCTGGCCTGACATGGCAAATGCCCACAGCAGAGGAACTGGTACATGCTATTGGACATCTGTTCTTCCAGTCTCATAAAGAAACAGGAAATAATACAATTAGAAGGGTAGAAGAGATAAGATCACCAAGTCAGATACTTCCAGGGACTTTGGATTGAAGAACAAACAGAAATGATATCAGAAGGAGCTGGACGGCCCAGAGGTGGGGCTCTGTACCATCCAGCTGCCTCTCAAGGGAAAGAGAAAAGTCTCACTTAAATCTAGGCATATATTTCACAAAAGCTGTCATATATATATGCTTCAAGATGCATGTTCAGTTTCATTGGGTTGGTGATGTTAGTTACTCAGTTGTGTTCGAGTCTGTGACCCCATGGACTGTAGCTCAGCAGGCTCCTCTGTCCATGGGATTTCCCAGGCAAGAATACTGGAGTATGCCATTTCCTTCTCCAGGATATCTTCCTGACCCAGGGATCAGACTCAGGTCTCCTGCACTGCAGGATTCTTTACCGTCTGAGCCACCAGGGAAACCCCAGATGTCCATTAGTGGCAAACATTTAAATAAACTATGGCACAGTCATATAATGAAATACTATGGAGTAGTTAAAAATTAAATAGAGCTTGGTGTACTGGCATGAAAGGAACTCCAAAAAATATTTTTACTAATGAAAAAAGCAAGCTGTGCAAAAACACATATACACGCATGCTTGCGTGCTAAGTTGCTTCAGTCGAGTCTGACTCTTTGTGACCCTTTGGTCTGTAGTCCGCCAGGCTCCTCTGTCCATGCGATTTTCCAAGCAAGAATACTAGAGTGGGTGGCCATTCCTTTCTCCAGATGATCTTCTGGACTCAGATTGAACCTGCATCTCTTGAGTCTCATGCATTGGCAGGCAGGTTCTCTACCACTAGCACCACCTGGGAAGCCCATATACGTGTGTGTGTGTGTGTGTGTGTGTGTTTATCTATATATATGTGTGTGTGTGTGTATATATATATAATGTTTAAGTAAAAACAAATGAAAACAATGTGTTTACATATGGTTGAATGTATACTTTTCAATATATATAATACCAAGAAATTCTGTAAACAAGAGTAAGACTGGGAAAGAGAAACAAGAACAGATTCTTGAGTACATGCTTTTGTATTTTTTACATATTTGTAATGTGAGTTAACCCACATGTGCATGATCTTTATACATCTTCATAGAAAAGTAAGCTGCCTTACTTTTGAGATACAGAGTGTCTCAGTTATTAGAACAGTTATCTCCCTATGCTACAAGATAATAAAATAATTTCCTAAAAATTAAGCAACATCTATTATTAAAGCTTCCCTGATGGCTCAGTGGTAAAGAATCGCCTGCAATGCAGGAGACCCACGTTCAACCCCTGAGTCGGGAAGATCCCCTGGAGGAGGGCATGGCAACGCACTCCAGTATTCTTGCCTGGAGAATCACATGGTCAGAGGCGCCTGGTGGGCTACAGCCCATGGGGTTGCACAGAGTCAGACACGACTGAAGCTACTAACCAGCAACAGCATTATTAAAGCTATAATCCATGGCCTATTCACTAGAATTTAAGACTTAGTTAGTCAAGACTGTTTATTATCATTTTGAAGTACAAACTGACTTTAACGTTCTATATCATAATTTAATTGCTTAAAGTTTAAATAAATATTTTAAAAGTAAAATTAAGATGCATACTTTATTTTTTTAACATAGATAAACACACCAGAAAAAATATAAAATATTTCATAAAATAATCCAATATTCTCTTATAAATACTGAAAATCAAAATGTCATCTCCAGAATTAAAAATTAGAAAGTTAAGAAGATTTTCCCATGGACATTTAAAGATTCAAATTAAGCTAGCTGGTAAATTAAAAGCCAACGTGTTGAATCTAAAACATCTGTGAAATACACAATAAAACTTGCAAACCCAAGAAGATAACATGTATAACATGAGTATTTTAAGATACTAGTTTTTGTAAGAAAAACTGGCTTTTCTTGTGTACCCATTTAGCATGATAAAATAGCCTTCTAATTTCAAAGCTAACTACATGTTGTACTAAATACATGTCATGCTTTTCTCTCTTCTTTTATTAAAAAAAAAAAAACTATTACTAAGAAGAATTTAGCAAACCTTCAGACTCTGAACAACTCTAAGCTAGTTTCCTTTTTTCTTCCACCTTCCTCTTCCCCTATTGTTCGAACTAACTTTTAAACTATATCCTATGCAGGGGTTGACAGGGGTTGGGGGGTGCAGATCTCCAGGATTGTCTTTGGCTGGTGGGGCTGGTTATCTAGATAGATAGATAGATAGATATGATAGATAATAGATGTGTGTGTGTTTGTGTGTACAAACACACATTTCCTATCTACTAACAGGACAGAAGTAATGACACATTGGTAGCAATGAACCCACCTAGCACCCAGTTCTTGGTTTCTAAATGCCACTCTCCACTAAAAGGAGCCAGAAGTCCCTGGCAGGGGGCGGTTTCGTCGCTAAGTCATGTCCAACTCTCGTGACGCCATGGACTGCAGGCTCCTCTGTCCATGGGCTTTCCTAGGCAATACTGAAATGGGTTGCCATTTCCTTCTTCAAGGCGATTTCCTGACCCAGGGACTGAACCAGAGTCTCCTGCTTGGCAGGCAGATTCTTTATCACTGAGCCACCCCAAAGTCCTTGGAGAAATGACTAATTCATGTGTTACGTAAGCTTCCTTCAATTCAGTTCAGTTCAGTCGCTCCGACTGAAAGACTCCTTACTACCCCATGGACTGCGGCGTGCCAGGCTTCCCTGTCCATCACCAACTGGATGGAATCAGCTTCCTTCAGGCATGAGTTATACTATTGTTGGCTGTGGGTTCAATATTAATGAATCAACAACCTATATTAAATAAGGTGTCTTTCAACAGAAACACAAGGTTATATATTGATTGACTGATGATTATATTGTGATGGGAAGTTAACCCGAATTTCCCCCAGAGCAATGCTTCAGCATTCACTAACACAGTGTTTACCACAACTTTACAGAACAAAACTAACACAAATAACAAGGATCAACTGTATTTGTACTTAGTTGCTCAGTCATGTCTGACTCTTTAAGACCCCATGAACTGTAGTCTGCCAGGTTCCTCTGTCCATGGGATTCTCCAAGCAAGAATACTGAAGTAGGTAGTCATACCCTCCCCTTCAGAGGATCTTCCCAACCCAGGGATTGAACCAAGGTCTCCTGCATTGCAGGCAGATTCTTTACTGTCTGAGCCATCAGGAAAGCCCATGAATACTGAGGCAGGTAGCTTATCCCTTCTCCAGAGGATGTTCCCAACCCTGGAATCAAACCGGGGTCTCCTGCACTGCAGGCAGATTCTTTATCAGCTGAGCTACCAGGGAAGCCCCAACTGTATTTACACCACCTCAAAGTACTTTCCCACAGAGTACCTATAATTTATTGATTGATTTATAAATGCAATATACTTGGTAATTTTGGAGTGCAGAGGCCTGGCAAATCCAATCCCATTCAAGATAGGAAAGTTTACACAACTGGAAACAGGGCAAATTAACATTGTGTGGCTTCTGTGAAGACACTGAACACGGCATCCTTTCTGTGCCTACAAACAAGCATAAATCAGGAGGCAACATCATCAAATCCAAATTAAGGGACATTCTATAAAGTGACCGGCTTACAATTTTTTAAAAGATCAAGGTCATAAAATATTAGGGTAGATGAGGAACTGATCCAAATTGATGGACCATAACACAGCACAACTAAATATTAATACAATCTGTGATGGTGGATTGGTTTGGACATAAAGGGCAATGTAGGGATAACAGGCAAAATTTGAATGGGGCCTATGGTCTAGATGGTAACACTGGATAAATGTTAATTTCCTGATTTCCATGGCTGCCCTGTGGTCCTGCAGTAGAGTAGCCTTGACTTAGGAAACACTGAAGTACTTGGGGTCAGTAACTTCACGAACGGGTCAGAAACATTAACAATCGGGGAACTGGGGCTCAGGGAACCCAGGAGCTCTGTGTGCTATTTCTGGGGCTTTTATTGTAATTCAAAATTATTTCACAAAGACAAAGTTAGCAAAGAAGCTGCTGAATCTATCAATTTGCAGCCAAATGTTAATTTTGATGCTAATATATCTTAGATAAGTTTCTTGGTGTCATTTATAACTGTGTCACTGTGAAATCAAAGATGTGATCAAAAGAATGATGGAGGGATTTCCCTGGTGGTCCAGTGACTAAGAAACCATCTTCTGATGCAGGGGACCCGGGTGCGATTTTTGGTCAGGAAACTAAGACCCCACATGCTGCAGGACAGCTAAGCCCATGCAGTACAACTACTGAGCCCACGCGCTGAAACTAAGACCCAACATGGCCAAAAATAATAAATAATTTTTTAAAAAAGAATGATAGGGGGACTAACTAATGGTAGTAATTATCACTTTTTTGATCACTGAATGCTAGGAACTCTTACCGATTCACTTACAAGGACAATCTGACACTAAAACTAGAAATGCCTTCAACAGCAGTTAATATAGGAATAAAAC